GTCCCCCGTGGGGTCCCTGCAGCCCACTCCCCGCACCCCACCACCCCCCGTGGGGTCCCTGCAGCCCACTCCCCGCACCCCAGGCCCCCCGTGGGGTCCCTGCAGCCCACGCCCCGCACTCCCAGCGCCCCTCCCACGCTCTGGTGCCGCAGAGCCACAGAGGCAGGACAAGGCCCACCCGAGCGGGCTCAACACCACGGGGGAGGGTCCTGCCCCTCACGCCCTCGCGGGGACCCAGCGCTCAGGAGGCGTCACCGGCCTGCGGGGGAGACACCCGCCCTGCCCCCCCTCTCTGTGGAGCCCCAGGGTCTTGTCCTCTTCTCCTGGGGGCCGGAGCCCTCGCCGGCCCTGGGCTCGGCAGCGGCCTTTCCCTTCCACGGGCAAATCTCGGCTGCATTCTGCAGCGCCGGACTCCCCTTTGGTCGCCGACTCGCGGGCGCCCAGCAACGGTGCCGCCAGTGCCGGACACAGGCCCGAGCAGGCCCCCAGCGGCTCTCCCCACCCAGGAGGGCATCACCCTTCTTGTCTCGGATTCGCGATTCTTCCATGCAGCGAGGCCCTCTGAGCCCTCACAGACATCCTGCAGGCCTGTGTGCAGCAACCGCCCATCCAGGCTGGCCCAATTGCCACCCCGTGTGCAAAGTGCCTTGAGTATCGGAAATGTGTCACGGATCCACTTTAAATATAGGAAGCCACTTTGAATAGAAAGATGTAAGTAGGTAAAGTGAACAGACAGAAGATACACCATGCACGCATTAGTCAGACCAAGCTGGGGTAGCTATGTGGGTATAAAAAAAGCAGATTTCAGGACAAGGAATGTCACCAGGGAAAAAGAAGTATATTATACAATAATAAAGGGGTCAGTTTTCCAAAAGGACACGGCAATCCTCGATGTGTATGCATTTAGGATGGAGCTTCAAAATATATGAAGCAAAAACTAATAAAACTGAAAGGATAATTCATCAGAGATATCAACATCCCTATCTCAGTAATCCATAGAACAAGTAAGCAAAATCAGTAAGCAAACAGAATCTCCAAACAACAGCAGACTTGAATTAATGGAAATTTACAGAACACTCCATCCAACAACAGCAGAGTATGCATTTTTTGCACATGGAACATTCACCACAACAGACCATACTCTGGGACTTAAAACAATCCTTAACAAATATTTTTTAAAAAATAGAAATCATACAAAGTATGTTCTCTGACATAATGGAATTAAACTAGAAAGATATCTGGAAAATTCCCAAATATTTGGAAAGAAACCCACTTCTAAATAAGCATAGGTCAAAGAGGAAGTCTCAAAGAAAATTTTTAAATGTTCTGAACTGAACGAAAATGAAAACATAAACACATCATACTTTGTGGGATGCACCTAACCACTACTTTGAAGGAAACTGATAGTATTAAATGCTTATGTTAGAACAAATTAAAGGTCTAAAATAAGTAATCTAAGCCTCCAACTTAAGTAACTAAAAGAAGAGAAAATAAACCCAAATCAACCAAAAAGATGGAAATAATAAATGGACATCGACAAAACTTAAAACACAAAAATGAAGAAAAAGCAATGAAAACAAAAGTTGGTTCTCTGAAAAGATCAACAAAATTAATAAATCTCTAGCCATACTGATCAAAAAATAAAAAACACACAAACTAGCACTATTGGGAATGAAAGAGAGGACATTACTACAGATTCCACAGACATTAAAAGAAAAATAAGACAATTACGTTATGAACTGAATTGTGTACCCCCAAAATTCCTACGTTGAAGCCTTAACTTTGCATGTGACTGAACTGGAGATAGAGCCTTCACCCCTGTAAGTGATTACAGTTAAATGAGGTCATAAGGGTGGGGCCCTGGTCCCATAGAAATGGTGCTCTAATAAGAAGAGGAAGAGAAACCAGAGCTCGCCCTCACTCTCCCTGTGAGGACACAGTGAGAAGGCAGCCGTCTGCAAGCCAGAAGGAGAGCCCTCACCAGAAATCAAATCAGCCAGTTCTTGGACTTCCCAGCCTCCAGGACTGTAAGAAAGAAATTTCTGTTGTTTAAGCCACCCGGTCTACGGCATTTAGTTACGGCAGCCCAAGCAGATTAAGACAGATACCATCCCCATAAATTCAACAATATAGATGAAATGGAGGAATTCCTTGAAAGACACAAACTACCAAAACTCACTCAAGAAAAAACAGGTAGTTTTATATCTATTCCAACAAAGAAAATTCCAGGCCCAGGTGGTTTCACGGATACATTCTACCAATTTAAAGAAGAAATAATACCAATTCTCTGAAATCTTTGGCAGAAAATCAAATAAAGAGTTTTAAATTGGCACATTGCCATTTGTAAGCTTTCAGAATATTGCATGTGAATTTTTAAAAAATGTAAAATTTTGAATATATTGAAATTCATTTTAAAAAAAAAAGTTTTAAATTGGCAGCTTATTTATGAGTTCACCATTACCCTAACATTGAACCAAAGAGAAAAGAAAACTACAGACCAACATCCCTCATGAACATAGACACAAAAAGCCTCAATTAAATTCAGGTATTAGCAAATGGAATCCAGTAATATATAAAGAGGATAATACATCACAACCAGGTAGGGTTTATCCACGTGGCATTTCAGGGCTGCTTCAACATCCAAAAATCAATCCCTGTAATTTACTATATTAATAAACTAAAAAGAAAATACATAAGATCATCTCCATACATGCAATAAAACATTTGACAAGATCCAAATCTATTCATGATAATTTAAAAAAACTCTCACCAAACTAGGAGTACAAGGGAACTTAAGTAACTTGACAAAGGGCATCTACGAAAGCCTACAGCCAACATCACATCCAACAGTGGAAGCTGAAGCCTCCCGCTGAGTTCATGGCCAAGGCAAAGATGGGCCGCACCACAGGGCAACAAAGCAAAACAAATAAACAAAAGTCGTAAAACTGGGAAAGGAAGAAAGAAAGCTCTATTTATTCACAGACAACATGACTGTATATGTATAAAATTACAAAAGTTTTACAAAAACAGATCTCCTATAACTAATTACTGAGTTCAGTGAGTCGCAGGGTATAAGGATAATATACAAAAGTCAATTATATTTCTACATGCTAGCCATGAACAATTGGAATTCAGATTTTTAAGAAGCTAGTAGCATTTACAACAGTACTCAAATAAAAATCAAATGCTTGTGTGTAACTCAGCCCTAAAGCATAGGAGGGGAAAGGGTGACAGAAAATTTAAGAAATAATATCAGATACCTTTTCCAGATGTGACAAAAATTGTAAACTTACAGATCCAAGAAGCTCAATGAGACCCAAGCACAAGAAACATACGGACGGTGACGCCAACACACATGATAATCACATTGCTCACACCAGGGATAAGTAGAATCATTTTAAAAGCCAGAGAACACAGGCATGGGGTGAGGGGAAAGAAAAACAAGGAAGACAGCAGATGCCTCGTCAGAAACAGTGCAAGCAAGAAGACGGTGGAGCAACGTCTTTGAGGCACTGAAAGGAAACACGAACTGAAACCTAGAATTCTCTGAGCTGGGAAAACGTGTCAAAAATGGAGGTGAAATAGAGTTTTCAGGCATGCAAAAGCTGACAGAATCACGGCCAGTCGGCCCACACTGCGAGAAACGTGACAGGAAGTCTTCCCGCCACACGAATGCGCAACCAGACTGTAACACGCATCTGCAAAATGGAAGAAAAGGCACAGGAAATGTCAACCACACGGGTAAATCTACATAATTTTTCAACTTATTATTTAGATATCCTTAAAAGATCATTGTTTAAACAATAAAGTAACAGTGCATTGTGGGATTTATAACCTGCACAGACGGCAAGCGTGTGGCACTCACAGCGCGGACGAGTCGGGGGCGGAACGGCACTCGAAGTCGTGCCAGTTATCCATCCACCGCCTGCAGAGTCCACGTTCACCCTTCCTCCCTGCCTGGCGCTAACGGGTGGGCCCTGTCAGCGTTTCTTCTCAGAGCCAGCACGTTGCACCTGGCGGCAGCGGGCAGCGGAGGAAACTTGCGGGAGTAAGGGGCATCTTCTGATTCCAGAACTTCTGTTTTTTCCTGTTCCCGCCCACCACTGGCGGAGGCAGGGAAACCCAGCGAACGTCCCTGCCCTCCAGGAGGCTGCACCACGCTTCTCCAGCGAGGCCTGAACCCAGCTTGGGGGAGGGAGCCCCCTTCCTAGTGTGCTCCTTAGGCACCGTCCCTCCGTCCTAAAGCTCCCTTCAGAGTCCCCTTTCCATCTCTGTAGTTCCTCCACTGGTGCAGTCGATACTTCCTAATATTAACGTCTCTCAATTCAGATAAAAAATTAAGTTATAAATATGAAAAGCTGATTTCTTAAAAGTCTGCATGTTTTAGAGATACACACCGAAATACATACGAAAGAAATGGCATGTAGGAATTTTACTTCCACATAATCTGGGGAGAATGGTGGAATCTCAATGGTCTGGGGGTGGCAGAGTGAGGTTTGAATGAAACTGGATCAGCCAATATTGATAGCTGACCGTCTGTGCTGGCTGATGATAAACTGGGCTCATTATGCCAATCTCTCGAGTTCTGTAAAAGATTTGAAAAATTCCATA